GCGGTGATAAACATTTTAAAAACATGCATTTTATGAACTTGACGTTTCGTATGCTAGTCAACATAAATTTTTTAAAGTATAACTTAAAATTTTTGGAAAGCTATTTATACTGTACCAATGGGTGTCTAGAACCTAGACAGAAAACATCTGCAGTAGAAATTTAAGGACGTTCGCGCTAATTGTTTCTGCGCATCCTTACTGCGGACGCAAATTCACACGCCACGTCAACAACAACAATAACAACATCAACAAGGTGTATTTGAACTGTAAAATTAGCTTAATTACTAATTAATAAATAAACTAAAAATACATACAGTTGCTGGTCACCCAAAATAACTAAAGTGCTAAACTAGTTTGGTGACAACCGATTATGAGAGCGCGCGCTAAGTAATAAAATGAAAAATGAGAGGGCAGATGGCCATTGCTATAGCTTTGCCTGGATTTAACGATCTTGGACGCTCGGTGACCCCTATTTTTCTTTTGATGGATCATTTTCTCTACCGATTTTCTACGTTTAGCGAAAAAATGAAGAAAATCTATCGTCTAGAAGTTTGAATTTTTTGCAAAATGTGCCATCGAATTCCGTTCGTTTTAGCTCTTCGTTTATCTCTGCGACGGTTTCAAATGCTTCTTGAAGGGTTAAGTTTTGTGAGAACGTTGTTAATATTTGGAATTATTTACGCAACAGACCCACTTCCACAAAATACGACTAAGATCGTTAGCCTCCGTTGACTCACCTTCGATATTTCTAATTATAAGCCCCTGTAGACCATGCTGAATTACGTGTGCCAAATTTTCAAAATCAGGGTAGTTTTCCACACACTTTATCTCTGAACGAAGTCAATGACCCCCAATTTTTTTTCTGCATTTCTGACACAAGTAACTCGTTATCTTACTGCAGTAAAAATTTAAAAAAAATCTGTCGACTGGAAAAAGTTCGTGCGAACGTCCAGTTAAGACGTTTCAAACGGAAACTGTAAAGTGACACAATGGGAAAGCTTTCCTAATAAAGTAAAAGCTTTTCACTGCTGACATTGACATTCGGTGCTGCAGCTGGCTGCAACTCCTGAATAAACAAGGTCTCTTTAACCTTACAATGGTAGTCAGTCTTGCCGGACGCCA